TATTGTTGGAACACTTTGAGCCCATCTGAATTGTCTGAAATGAAAACAAAATCGATCTTGATTCAGCCCCATTATATAATACACCTTTCCCCAATTTTACATTGCTGCTTCTGTGAAAATAAACACCAAAAAGGGGTGAAGGTGATTGTAGTAACTAGGATTTGGTTTCTGTAGTTGTCGTTCACTTCCTTAGCATATGTAGTACTTGCATGAACCCGGGCATAGCTGGGCTTAGTATAACAAGGACTGACATCAGCACTTCTCCATTGACTTTCCACATTGTTTTAAGCCTCTACTACTGCACGCCTGCATTTCATCTGCAGTGTGGCAGCTTAGGAAGGTATAGCTAAGACATCTGCAGCTCCAGAGCAGTGTCCTGACAGCAGACTGCGATGATTCAGATGTTAAACCTCACCAGCTTATGTGTCAAGAAAAAGTCTCATTTGGGCATCTCCTGTTGAAAAAGAACAGATGTTCAGCTCAAGTGCTGGATTTTTGTGTCCTGTAAACTCCAGGAACTTGAAGCTCAGAGGAATTGTATCCAGTCAGCAGCACTGCTGTCATCAAGTATGTGAAGCACATCATAAGACTCGATGTGCCATTTGTTCGAGAGGCAGAGAACACACAGGACATTGAGGGAAATCCCAGCCGGGGAAAACCATAACGATGAATCTTACTTGCCTGCTTGCCCAACCATCATCAAAACAAAGGAAAAACTCTTGTGTTTGTAAAGTGGTTGTTTTGAAGCAGACCTACTGTGGCCACAGAAAAGGATGCTGGGCGTTGGGCTTTCCTCTTTGGCTGGGTGTCAGCTTGTGCAGAAGGGTGGCAGGAGTGATACTGCACTTCTTCATTCCTGCAGCTTGGTTCTCTGGGGACACACCAAACCTGACAGTTCTCATGTCATTTTTTTGGTCTCCTGCTTTTGAAAATAATGCAGCTACCTGAAGGGGATCACTCTGGTGTCAGAAGATCATCATTATTGCTAGTGTGGGTGCCAAGAGTGGCTATATAGCAGGTGACAACTGGACCCCTGGACACATGAGGCTCCTCATCATACCCATCGTATTTAAGGAAGTCAGCCTTGAGACACTTCAACTGCCTTTTTAATTAGCCTGTAGACTTGCTAGCTCAGGGGATCCCTCTCAGTCTGTGCACATCAAGCACCCTTGAAGGCTATCTGATATCAGTTAGATACCCACAGATTCTTCCCCTTTATAAACAATGAATGGAATGGCGAGTCCCACGGAGAGAGCATTCCTGTATTGCTTGCCTCAGCAAAAAGCTACACTGACCCTGAAGGCCCTGAGAGAGCCAGTCACACTTCCTGTGCAGATTACCCAGGTGTGGTAGGAAAAGGCCAGAAAAGGCCCCCTAACAAAGCAAATCCTATCATCAGAGTCTGGTGTGGCACAGCTGTTGCTTTCAGTTTCCAATGCTGCCCAAAGTATCCCCCCGGGGAACTTATGACCCCGTCACACTCAGCCCTTCTTCCCGCCAAATTGCCTCGCAGCCCGTGCTGCCCACCTTGCTCAGAGCCAGGCCAGTGTGGGGCAGGGAGCTGGGCCCCTTCCAGCCCCTGGGGCTCCAAAGGGTGAGGAAAGGGTTGGCAGCTGATGTAGTAAAACTGATAAAACACACTGTGGGCTCCAAGAAAAGCATAGGGAGAACTATCTTGGGATCTGCATGGAACCGGAACAGGTTGCCCGAGGAGGTTGTGGATGCCCCATCTCTGGAGGCGTTCAAGGCCAGGCTGGAGGTGGCTCTGGGCAGCCTGGTCCAGTGGTTAGCAGCCCGGCACATAGCAGGGGGTTGAAACTAGATGATCTGAGCATCCTTTGCAACCCAGGCCATTCTGTGATTCTATGATTGGCAGCAGGGAGGAAGGCTCCAGCTTCGTGTTACTGACATCGCTGGATGGAAAGCTTCGCTTCCAACAGCGACACAATATTAAGCTACACAAGCTGTAACGCTGGATGTGCCGTACACGGACACCAGCGGACACGTGACGGGACCGAACGAACGAAAACCGCGTGCTACAACCCCGCACAGCCCCACAGGGCGGCTCTCCATCCGCCGCCTTTATCCCCCTCACCCCCCCCCCAAGGCACGCACGCCACAGCTCCCCGTTCCCTCCATCCGGCCGGGGAAGCCCAAGCCCCACCCCGTACCCGCGAGCCGGGGGGGCGGGGCCGGGGCCGGGGCCTTAAAATAGAAGAGGGCGCGAATCGCGGGGAGAGCCGCGCTGCTCCCGGTAAGTAGCGCTGAGGCTGCCTTCCTGCTGCCGGAGCGGCCCGGCGAGCGCGCTGGGGCGGGAACGGGTTTGAAAACGGCTTCTGCCCTGTTTGAACGCCGCTATCTCCCTGCAGGGCTCCTTCTGTCCGCTAGTCCCGCCTCAGCGGGTCCCTTGTTTGTTTGCTTGTTTGCTTTTACTTTTTCCCTTAATCCCTCGCTGCAGCTCTTCCGGGTGTGCCGTGCCCGCTGCCGTGCCGCGATGTCTCCCGTCCGCACGGCCCGCGCTCGGTCCGCCCGCCGGCGCCGTGCCTCCAGCCCGCGCTGCGCCGCTCCTTTGTCTGCCGCGTTGGGGCGGGGTGGGGGCGCGGGCCGGGCCCTCGGGAGCGAGCCGGGGTGTTCGAAATGAAATCGAACGGCGGAGCTCCCAGCTGTTTGGGGAAGCGTATCTATGTGGGAGATCCTCGTGGAGAAGGAGGGTTTTCTGTGTGGTGTTGGACTCTTCCTGTGGGGTGCCTGCTCTCATTCTTTGGTTTTCAAAGCTGTTAATTCCCGAGCTTCAGTGGTTGCCTCAATTTGTACCACGTGTCTGTAGGAGCAGTGTCCTGACCTCATATCGGCTGTGATGGGAAGTGAATAGAGCTCTGTGCAGCTGCTAGTGGTGGGCAATAGGCACCACCTTTTAGTTTTTAACGTTAAAACCTTTTAAACTTTAAAAGGTTATGCATTTTAAAGAGGCTTCTTTAAGGTAAATCAGGCTGAGTATTAGGAAACGTTTCTTTTCGGGAGGAGCAGTGCTGCAGTGGCACAGGCTGCCCAGGGAGGTGGTGGAGTCACCATTTCTGGAGGTGTTCAGTGGCCGTGTGGATGTGGCACTGAGGGATGTGGGCAGGGTGGGGATGGGCTGGCGATTGGACTGGGTGATCTTAGTGGTCTCTTCCAGCCTATTTTGTGAAGCCAACATCCCTTCCTTGCTGCCTCCTTTGTGCACAACCATGTAGAATGTGTTCTATAAACTGTTCCTAGCAGTGCATTTGCCTGAATTTCTGCAGCCTCCCCTCCTAGATCTCATTCCTCATCATGAGGAGCTGGCTGGCAGGCTCCAGGGACCAGCCAGGCCTACGGCTGTAGGTAGGGGCAGATATGACTGTTCCTCTGCTGGGTAAGTTGCCTGCTGCTGAGAATATGGATGTGGCAATCTTGCCTTCCTGCTTGGCTCATCCTTGTTTATATGTGGTCATGTGTGCTGTGTTTAGGAAGGAAAAATAAGACTCCTGGTTAAGGTGGTTTTGTTGAGTTCCTGCTCACTCATCACTAATTCCTTACACCCAGATTGAGCAAGCTGGAGGCAATGAGTTCAGCTTGGTGGTGTTTTTCTTTTAATTCCCTAAGCAATGAAAGTAATGATAATTCTAAGTGGGGAAGGCTGTCTGCACTCTGGGCACTTCTAACTTGGGTCAGTAATGCCATGTTGTTTCCATGTATTGTTTTTCCTGTGTAACAGGATGACAGGAGACACCCACGCTCCTCAGGAGCTGGGAGAGCAAGCAGTTACTCTGATTGAGTCAAGGTGCTTAATCTGCAAGCAGACAGGCACATAAATCCTGTGACTGTTGCCTCTGGAGATCTTATGGTGCGGCCTGACGCTTGGAAGCTGTGGCTCAGAGGGTGGTGCCACACTGGAACAGGTTGCCCAAGGGGGTTGTGGATACCCCATCCCTGGAGGCATTCAAAGCCAGGCTGGATGTGGCTCTGGGCAGCACATAGCAGGTGGATTAAACAAGATGATCGCTGTGGTCTTTTTCAACCCAGGCCATTCTGTGATTCTATATGATTCTATGATTATGGGATGTTGGTGGGAGAGTAGGGGCATGCATAGCCTGCTGACTATGTGGTGTCTCAGCTATTTGAGGTAGGCTCCTTGATAAAGCACCTTTATTGCCTCCAGTTATGAACTAATAAGCAGTGGGGGATAGGGAAATAAACTGAGACTCTGGTTATCTCTGCTGCAGGGAATTGATGGCAATTGAGCATGTTTCATTTCCTCCAGTTAGCAGTTCCTCAGAATTTACCAGCAAATCTGATATTTCTTTGCTTAGCACCTTCCTCTGTTTTTCTCTTAGCTTGCTGTGGCTTGGTCTGTTAGATAAGTGCAGCTCCAAACAATGTACAATCTTTATATCTGCTTACTCTACAAAACCAAATAAATGCTGATATTTCTGATTTAGGAAGCTGAACTCGTAGTTTGAGTGAAGGTGCAAAGCTACTGCTTAAAAACTGGATCCCTTGTTAGTTTTGGCTGGCTTATCTTGAGTGAGGGAGGAGGGATGGGTTACTGAAAAATTACTGGTTAATGATTACAGAGTGTGCATAATTGGTCCTCTCCACAGAGATTGGGTCTGATTCGGAGGCAGGCTGAAGAAAGGTAAGGAAAGGTAGGGTAAAGTGTAAAAACATGCTGTGAGTCATGTAGGGTGCCTGCTCTCATTCTTTGGTTTTCAAAGCTGTTAATTCCTGAGCTTCAGGGGTTGCCTCAATTTGTACCACACGTCTATAGGAGCAGTGTCCTGACCTCATATCGGCTGTGATGGGAAGTGAATGGAGCTCTGTGTAACTGCTAGTGGTGGGCAATAGGCACCACCTTTTGCCTAGATGAGATGATGGGAGTTGTCCTTGCGCTGTCTTTGGAGCAGTTGCTCAAGAGTG